CACAATGTTTTTAGTTTTTCATTTTTTTTTTAAATATATAGAAATTTTGAATTTTTTTTAGGGATAATTGCAGCAGTGGTCCCAAACCTATTACCTCTTCTCTCTCTCTCTCTCTCTCTCTCTCTCTCTTTTTTCACCTTAACCTTCACTTTGTGCTACCCACGGTCCCAAACCTTTTAAAAATTAGCACCTAAGATCCAAATGGATGATTTCTATTAGTTTGACCGTTAGTTGACGCAATAAAGAAGATATTTTATATCTCTTTCGTTTTGAAGATGTTTGGGCAAATTTTTAAAACGTACAAGTGGTAGTGTTGGAAGTAATGGGTATTAAATCGGTAGGTTATATAACTAATTTATTGGCCATTTGTGAGAAAAGATTTAGGGTGGGTTCCAATAATTAAGGAATTATTTAAGAAGTGATTAATGCGATGAGGTGATTACAATTGTGCATCGATTTGGCCAAATAGGTATGTGTGTGGACTTGAAATGGTCTGGTATAACCAAATGCTTGCAACGGTGTTTATGAGTCCTTTTGTTTATTGAATCATTGAGAACAAACTTTTCTTTATGTTAATAGATAGTAAAAACTTCATACAGTTGATCTTTTGAAACTATTTCAAGCCATGATGCCTAATCAATCAATCTTGGGGTAAACAGTCTTGACTGCTTTGCTTACAATCCTATAGTAGTTTATTGTAGCTAATAGATGATCTTCATCAAATCGGGTTAGACTATAGATCGATATAGAAACAATTAGATGTCTCAATAGTATCGACTCGCTTTAATTAACTAGAAAGATTATAAGAATCACCTTCTGCTATTATCTAGAAAGTGATTCATTTTGTCTGTGGAAATAAATCTATTGAAAGAGGTCCAGTAGCCTGAACTTTTCGTTGGCCAGTAGTTAGAAAAAAAGTTGACATGGGTGTTATCGGTAGAATTTTATTCACATCTTAGATATTGGAATTTACTCATCTTCCAAGAAGAAGCCAAATGAAACCAAAATTTCATGTTCAATTTTGAATTAGATATGTTAAAATGCGGAATCAATATTGATTATAACCCCTAACGTTTCAAGCGAACGATACAAATAGACATTCAACTATTCACTAGCAAAATTTATCTCATGGAGATTTACGAAGTCGTGCCTCATTTAATTCAATTCGAGTTTTCTACAATGATTTTGCTCAAATTTAATGTTTTGATTGTTTATTAAGTTTTTGAAAATAGATAGCTATCGAAGATTTTGTGACTATTGATGCAAATATTTTCGCCTGGCTACCAAAAGTCTAGAAAGATAGACATCTATAGCACAACTGAAGATCAGTGTGTGACTAAATAGCTTCCAACGAACAATCAAATTTATCTATTTATAAACAAAGGCTAATTGTTGTTACTTTAAAGGAATAGCATTAGAGATTTATATGAAGAGACAAGACAAATGTAGTTTATCTTCCCTTGTTTAACATGAAATGGACATTATGACACATATATTAGGAATATATTTTTGAGAGAGCTGAAAAAGCAGTAGTTGTTCTCTATATTTGCCTTTCTCAACGAGTTTTGTTAACAAAGATGGAACCTTCCACAAAGATTCTTTGACAAATAAATTTAAAAATAATCTCCACATTTTATTTAAATTAATCTAAGGGTCCATATAAGTCTAATTAAATTCCTTAAAGTTCCAGATTAACCTCACCCCAACTTCATTTAATTCAGTTCAATATATTTGTGTGTGTGTGTGTACATTTGTGTACGGAGAGACTCACAGTATGTAACTGGTTAGGCAACATCTAATCGGAATGGAGAGGATATTTGCCAATTTGGTGTTGGGTGACACCCATTTGACTTAATGAAATCAATGTGGCCCGTTAGATTCGTTTAAATCAAGGATCAAGATTCTTTGTAAAATTTATTTGTAAAGAATCTTAATTGGAGGAACGTTACACTTAGAAATGATTTTCATTTTGAGAGAGCTGAAAAATTATTAATTATTTTATATTTTTGCCTTTCTAACGCATTTTTTAACTAAGACGGAACCTCGTAGACCATAAATGTTTAGAACCATCTAATCAACAATTGGAGATGGATTGGAGCAACCAACTTGAATGAACATAGACAAGTGGTCATAACTCATAATGTGTTTCTCTAGAGCGTAAAGAAACAGTGTTTGAGTTTAACAGAGACGACGAACACGCACTAGACAAGTGTTTTTTAATATATTTATTGAAACAAAAATGGAATCTCGAGGTGATTAAGCCATTTTTTAGGAACAAACTACTAAAGTATTTTTTTCTCCTTTTAATTTTACTATTGTAGGTCATGAATATGTCCGGAAAATAAAAATAAATAAATAAACGTTGTTATTCTTATCAATATTTTAATAATGCTCCTACAATTACCAAACAAGAAATAAAAATATAATAAGTACATGAATCTTTTTTTTTTTTTTTTTTTTACAAGGTGTCCAATTCTTGACTAATCCTTGGGTCTGTGATCCGGCCCCTCTTCACACAGTCCGGTTAATCACAGGATGTGCCTCCAACTGGCCAGGGTCCGAGCGCTCCTCACCTGGTCTGACAAAGTGCCAAGCAAGCCAATTCAAGTTGCACATTGCCTTCCAAGAATAATCCTTGCCTTCCAAGTTCCCACTTGCCTTCCAAGAATAAATCCTTGCCTTCCCAATGTTAATAAGTACATGAATCTTACATGTTCCTGTGGTTGTTAGAGCACAAAACAGATTTAGATCTTGAGACGCATATTTTAGTTTATTCAAGTCAATATGATGTCAACAAATTCTACGACTGAATATAATATCTAATACAATTTCAAAAACTCAAAGAAAATCATAAAAGAATTTATTAGTCTTTCGCCTTAGAAGTTCGACACCTGGGATAGACTCTTAACTTGTTTAACTGTAATTGACAAGTAAAAAGAGACCTCGACGAAAAGAATAATGGTTATTTGATGCATGAAAAAAATATATTAATAAATCGAATAACCAGCTAGCATATATATATATATAGACAGAGAGAGAGAGAGAGAGAGAGAGAGAGAGAGAGAGGTGTGAAATGAAACAATTGGGCTTTTGGTTTGACCAATAAAAGTTTAAACCAATAAATCAATACAAGGTTTGACCGAGATATTCAAGCTTTTGGTTCATTCTTTAGATAAGAATTTTTTTAACAAAAATAAATCATTGGTTTTTCTAAAGAGTCAATAATATATTTTTTGGTAAAACAAGTAATATTTTTTAAAAAAATGGGCGAGCAATTCAATTTGATTTCAAGCAATTTTTAACTATTGAAATTTAAACCTAAATTGAACCATTTTCAAATGGTTCGATTCGATTTTGAAGCAATTAAAACTTAACAAAACAATAGCAACAATCTCCCTTTCGTTTGATGACGAATTTCCTGCTGCAAAAAAGATTCGAATATTCATGAATTGGGCTTTCTTTCAGATGCTGGAAGTGTAAAGAAAGACTCAATAGAATATGTGCTCTTCAGGCACTTGAACCTGCTTGGATCACATCTAGACAAATCGAAGTAGGTCGACAATGTCATTATAGAGAATTCCTGTCTTGTTTTCCACATCGTTAGTTGTTCCATTGATATACACAATTTTTCTGAAGAAGCTGGACCCTTTCTCCATCGAAAGAAATGAGATTATCGCAGATTCTTTTTACACTATTCCGAAAATCCAAGGACTCAATCGTATGGATATGTAAAATATAGGATTTCCAATCCTAGCAGGAAAGGGATACTCACTTATAATCATGGAATCGACTTGATCATCAGATTATAAGTTCATAACCCTAGCCCATTCCCATTCTGGTCGGAACAGATCTAATTCTTTGATTCAATTTTGATCTTAGACAAAAAGTCGATATTGGGGCCTGGATCACGATCGATGCCAAACATTCATGATCTGGATGTGAATGAGTCTAATTACTTATCTCTTGGTCTATTAGTGAACCATCTCTCTGAAAGATATTCCACTAGAAATATTCTTGTTATTGCTTCGACTCATGGAACGAAATCAAGTGTTTCTAAATTACGAAGTTGATATGATTTGGTATATTTTTTTGTTCATCTATAATTTATAGAGCATATTGACTTCAGAATAAGTTTTAAAAAATATAAAATTACTTTTATAGAAAGCAAGATTTTTGAACTTAAAATTATCAAGAATTTCAAATTTATTTCGTAAAATAATTACTTAAAAGATCATTGTCTATATCTGTATCCGTAAAACGGAAATTGAGTTATTGTTTACAATTAACCTTTTGGGGTTTGGACAAAATGTAAAGCCCACATTGCCTAACGCCATTACTGCCCTAACTCCCTATAAATAACCAACTCCGCCATTTCATTCGGCAAGGAGCGACCATGGCCATAGGTTTGTCTCAGTGATTTTCACTTACATTACTCATTTCTCAGCAATTTTTGTTTAATCCCATCTTAAGATATCAGCATTTTTGTCTGTAAATCGTTTCTATATGTGATGTTTCAGGTTTAAGTCATTCCTACTCATCACCTTCTGCGGACAAAAATGGTGAAGATGAGCTAATGAAGAAGGTGAGTTTTTCGCCACTGGGGAAAGGAAATGAGGTCGTAAATGGCGAAGAAATTGGGTTCGATCCGAGTGAACCTCCCCCGTTTAAGATTGGCGATATTCGAGCAGCAATTCCTGAGCATTGTTGGGTTAAAGATCCATGGAGGTCTTGCTCTTATGTTGTTCGGGATATTTCCGTGGCTCTTGGCTTGGTGGCAATTGCATTGCATTTCAATAGTTGGATTTTGTGGCCTGTGTATTGGTTTGCGCAGGGAACAATTTTCTGGGCAATTTTTGTTCTTGGCCATGATTGGTAATCCCTTTTTCCTTTCTGAATATCTACTAGCTTTATATCTCATACAAAAACAAAATGTCTATTAAGATTAATGAGATTTGATTACTTGGATTAATGAGACTGCCGATATGACAAAGTTTTACTTTCACTGTCAACAAAATTAACGGCTATGAAAAGAACGGAGTTGTCTATGATTGGTATCTTTGTTGATTACAGTGGCCACGGGAGCTTCTCCGAGAATCCCAATCTCAATGATATTGTGGGACACATCTTGCATTCTTCCATTCTTGTACCGTACCATGGATGGTTAGTCTTGAAAATATCTCCAATCCATAATGTAACGTTATAGAAAATTGATGTTCTTATTTATGTTAACATCATAGGAGAATCAGCCACAGGACTCACCATCAAAATCATGGACATGTTGAAAACGACGAATCATGGGTACCGGTAATGTTTTTCGTAGATTCTTGAGCTTTTTTTGATTCATTCTCAGTTTTTCTATTTCCTTTTGTGCAATTTTTGTTTGTCTTTCTTTTAAGAATCTGTGGGTAATTTGGGGTTATGATTTCTTAACTGGATGGTCTAATTTGTGTCCCTGTCATTTTCTTTCTCATTCCAGTTGCCTGAGAAGATCTACAAAAATCTGGATTTGGCGACCAAATTCCTGAGATACAAAGTCCCTTTCCCCCTGTTTGCATATCCCCTGTATCTGGTAAGGTTGCATGTGAGATTATTACAGTTAAAAAGAAATTTACATGTAACGTGGACGACATTGGACATTACCAGACATAATAAAAGGATCACATCCTGCTCAATACTTATGTAGAATGGATTGGACAATAAATCGCATGATACAGAGAGTGCTGCTTACTAAACATGTGTTTTGTTGGTTTTGTATTGCAGTGGTCTAGGAGTCCAGGGAAGAAAGGTTCACACTTCAATCCTTACAGTGATTTGTTCAAAAGCAGCGAGAGGAAACTTGCACTCACATCAACAATCTGTTGGGCTGCAATGGTTTCTTTTCTCTTTTGTCTATCCATCAGAATTGGACCGCTCCTATTGCTAAAGCTCTATGGGGTTCCATATGTGGTCAGTTCAATTACAAGTCCCCAGTGATTTCCAGATTTCTATAATTTGATTTAGTAACTATACTTACATTTACATACAGATATTCGTCATGTGGTTGGACTTTGTAACTTACTTGCACCATCATGGTCATGAGAAAAAGCTTCCTTGGTACCGTGGCAAGGTTTAGCAATCTTAACTCTAGTAGCTTCTAATACTACGAACCAAACATGCATTCATCGTATTTGTCTTTCGTCTTCTTAAGCCCAATTCAACGCACTAGGCATACTTTCGAGATTTTTGCAAGTGCCAAGACATTCATGATCTATCTGAATAAGGACAAATTCATTATTTTTTTCCTTGTCTTAACATTGAACAGGAGTGGAGTTACTTAAGAGGAGGCCTAACTACTGTGGATCGTGATTATGGATGGTTTAACAAAATCCATCATGATATTGGCACCCATGTTATACACCATCTCTTTCCTCAGATCCCGCATTATCACTTAGAAGAGGCGGTAATACCTCAGTTACTCAAACTACATTTACCTGTTTGTTAATAACGAGGAAGAAGCTAAAATCTTATCTTCTACACTTTCCGGTCATGTCCACTTATACGTGCTCTCGTGCACGTATGTTTCTTATATCAATTTGATAATAGCGATTGTTGAAGGCAGTAATACTTCAAACTACATTGGCATGTTTGTGAAGATCGAGCCTACAAGACTATATTAAAGGCATGTTTGATCTTAAAATCAGATTTTTTCGCTAACTTTTATGGAATAAGGCAATCCCAATAAATTCCATGACATGCACCGAGAACCCAAATTCATGCTTTCCAATGTTGCCCTCGACTTGGAAGAGTGATTTAACATTTTACCCCCAGTGCTTTTCCCATTACGGTATAAAGGGTTTCTCCATAGATCTATATGGTTGGCGGTAAATTGGAGAATCAGACAGCACTAGTTGATGAAATAGAAGAGAGAATTCAACATTGTCATTATTTCTCTACCAAACAAATGTAGATTTTGGTCCAGTAAATCAGATTTCCTCATAATTAGGATCAAACAAACGCTGAAGATAAAAAAGAAGCTAAAATCTTGTATATTAAAATGATGAATCTTGTCTACTAGTGCACGTCCTCCCATGTATAACAGTACTGTTTCATTTGTTTTGCACACAGACAAGGGCGGCTAAACCAATCATGGGCATGTATTACAGAGAGCCCAAAAAATCAGGACCAGTTCCTTTTCATTTGCTCCAAAATTTGGTAAGAAGCATTAATGAAGACCATTTTGTTAGTGATAGTGGAGAAATAGTGTATTATCAGAAGGATTCACCACTCTATTGAGAGATTTGCTTCCACTAAGAAGAGTGACTACTGATTCTTCCATCGACACATTATCTGAAATAGTGATTTTTACTGTATTTCTTGTTTGGGCTGCGTCTCATGAATAGGTTGTGGTGTCTGTTATCTTGATATACTAATATACTATGTCTTATGTAATCATATAATATAATAAGTCATTGTTTTTTATGTCCCTAAGAAATTCCATTATATGATAATGTATTAATGTAATTATGTCTTCTTTACTGCTTTCAAACGAAATTGGAAAATATTTATTGTACATCACCGTTCACCCAATCTTCTATAGATTGACAAGGTGTCAAAAAGAAAATGTGAGAGTTTGTTTCTTTTATTTGGTTGATGAAATTTTAACCCAATTAAATTGTCCCATCATTTGTTGGTAAATAAATCCCTAAATAATGATGTACACGTAGCACAACTAAACTAAATTATATCCAGAAGCGATAGTGCTTTGGAAACAAAATTTTATCGGTAAACAATATGGTATCCATAAGGGTGTCCTTAATGTACATGTGAAAATCTATGATTGGGGGTTGAAAAAATTATTTTTTAACTCTTCAATAATGTTATGTCACTTGTACATTATGGACATCCTTATAGATACCATAATGTACATGTAGCATGATTCGTGTTTGGAAACGGCACCATCCTATCTTGATTTACTAGAAAAAAATGATAACTACTTTGAAAATAAGATTGGTCATAGCTCGAAAATCCTATCATAAAAAATAGGATGAAATATTGTTGAACTTTGTGATTCTTGATAAGAACTAACCTAAGTAGATTCAGCTATAACTTGAAAGGATCATTCTTGGGGTACATAATAGACACCATAATGGTGTCCATAATCCTGAGGTGGCGCCTCTCCATTGGAGGAGGCGCGGGGCCCACAGGCACCCCCTCCAATGGGGGGAATTCAATACTTGTAGGGCCCTCTCTATTCCATCTCTCGAGCCCCGAAGAAAACCCCCTCCCCTTCGGGCACCCCCTCCAATGGGGGGTGCCACCTCGGCACTACGGACACCATTATGGTGTCCATTATGTACACTTAGAATATTCCAACTTGAAAACTATACAAGAATCTTGTTAGCTTGCCCATAAATCAATCGGTTGAACAGTTTGATCCTTTATTTTTTCAAATTTATTTATTTATTTATTTATTTATTTTGGGCGGGGGACATTGATTTTGTCCGAAGACTGTAGTCATGTGGCTTTGGAGTGTGTGAAAAGATTTGGAATAAACTATTATGGGTCTGAGTGACAGTTCAAAACAAATCATGCCAATCAATCTGCAGGTTGAGGTAAATTTACGACAAAATGTGACCATTGCAAAGCTGTAACAATTTAAAGAAAGCTTCAATTTTGTCCGGTTGTAAAAATAGTCACGTGATGTAGCTATTTTCGAATATCGATCGGTTTGGGATGGGTAATTTTTGAGAGCAAAGCTACAATACTAGGGAGAAAATTTACAGAGATTTTACAGGCATCTCACAATATAGTGGGTCAGCATTTTTTTTAATTTTTTATTACACGAGGGTCCCACGTGAGATCCATTCCATTATAAGTATTTTGTATAAAGCATGGTAAATTGCTCGTTGGCAAACCAATTTTTCCCAATTTTTGAGGTGGGGGAGAGCCATGAAGAGGGGTATCTGACTATTAGAGCACTTTCAATGTTTGTCGTTTAACTGTTAATAAGTGAATAATTACACCAAAAATAAATAAATAAATAATCATCAATGCAATTTCATTGGGATTCTGTTCAGTTGACGTGTAATTTAAAAATTAAAAAAAATATGTTAAGACTATAAGACTTCATTAGATGGGGTGAGTTGGCAATACCTTCAATCACGAATGTTGGGATTAATTTATGAACATAAATAGAAATTTTAAATTAAGTTTATACAAATTTTGCTACATATACATCAAGATTTATATAAGAGATCATATAATAAAACATAGCGCTCTACCAATTGCCAATTTATAATACAATTAACTTTTTCATCTAATCTTTCTTCCTACATTATTTTCAGTAATCGCTTAGGTACTATTTTGATATACAAGGAGCAAAATCCGTTTAAAAATTTACACAAACTTCATTAAATTTGGTTTTTTCAGAACAAATTCTACCCTATCATTCAAAAACGAAATATATTTTATATTGTAAATGTAGTATTTGTAAATTACTATTATACTCCTGTAGCCCTAATTATTATGATTATTGTATTCTTGTAGCCATAATTCTTCCCTATAAATCTGAGGCTTTGGTCATCAATGAAATACAAAAAAGTCTATTGACTTCTTTACTTTCTTTTCTTTTTTTCCTTACTTTATAACACATTATAAACATGATCGCTCTGCATTCTAGTGGAAATAGGTAACTCGCGCATAAAAGGAAAATTCCTCCCCGAAGTAGTGCCATGCGGCCACATGGTAGAAATTCATGTGGTCGCATGGTTCATATGCTAATCGCCTGTTGGTCCCATGTGGCATGTCATGCGGTCGCATGGCTTGGACAACCATGTGACAGCATGGCTGTCCGGTTGGCTTTCCCATTGTAGTTGCCCAGTTCATCTTGATTCTTTTGCTTTCGCCCTTCGTCTCCAACACCAACCTTGGCATTTGGCTTGCTAACCTCGCTCCTTTGAACTCTGTTCCTCAAACACACATTTGTATAGCTTTGTTGGCTCGATCTAAGCTCAATTCCCATCCCGATGCCTTGATTCACAATCAATGAACTCTCGACCAACTTTGGCCTAACCAAGATCACATCAGGTCCTCGATCCACGCCTGGTTCAAAGACTTTCACCTTCCATCTACTTGGCCATAACTCGGCTCTTTATCGTGACTTTGATATTTCACCACACCATGATTGAATATTTCACCTTCGACGCTCCGTAAACGCTCTAATTGCTCTATATCAATTGGATATTCAAAGAGTGATTTCTTTTTCAGAAATTCCTCATGCAGCAAATATTCAAAATACTGCAACAAAGAATTATACAAACTGGAGAGGGATATGTTAGCCTCCACCAACTCACTTCCATCACCAACCTCACTCTTCTTTACATATAAGTTTTCCTTTTGTTTGTCTTTCAGTTTTCCCATACCGCCTTTCAATCTCAACCGATTTTCATACACTTGTTGTGGTGTCAAAGGTACAAGTGTAATAGTTTTCCCATCCATGTTAAAAATGTACCTATTTCTAAACCCGTCATGCTTCACTTTCCTATCGTATTGCCAAGGCCTACCCAATAATATATGCTCTACATCCATTGGCACAACATCACACAACACTTCATCCTTATATCTCCCAATTGGTAAATTAACCAAAACCCTCCTATTAACCTTAACTTCTCCTTTATCATCTAACCACTGCAATTTATAAGGATTTGGATGTTTTATCATCTCCAATCTCAATTTCTTTACAAGTGTATAGCTAGCTAAATTAGTGCAACTACCTCCATTAATAATCAAGTTGCATACCTTATTATTAATGTGGCACCGTGTATGGAAGATGTTCTCACGTTGCTCCTCTCCATCAACCTTGATTTGTGCATTGAGTGCAAGCATCAAGACAAACGATTCTCCTTCAACCGGATACTCCACTATGTCACAATCACTAATATCTTCCAACTTGGATATGCCATCTTCATCACTGTCACTCACACTTTTCCACTGTCCTTCAAGGTCATGACTCGTTTGTTTAGATACTGAGAAGTAATGTGTCCTGCTCCCAAGCACTTGAAGCACTTGATGTCCCGACTCCTAGATTGCTATGGTTCCGCCTTAGGTGTAACCTTGCTAGCATTGTCATCCTTTCTCCTAGGTGACTCAATTTTATTGTTGACAACACCCCCATCAACTTTCTCTTCATTCCACCTAGACCTTCAAGATGAATTAGGCCCCTGTTAATCCCTAGCTCCCCTTTTCTCTTCAACTGCTTCTCAACCTTCATTGCCACATGCAGCATATCCTCCAATTCCACATAATGCGGCAATTCAACAACATTGGCAATGTCCATGTTCAACCCATTCAAGAATCGCGCCATGGTGGCTTCTCGGTCTTCCTCCACTGATGCGAACCTCGTAGAAACTTAGACTACGAAACTCACAACTAGATTGATACGGAACCTAAGAACGTCAATAGATAACCAGTTTGGATTTGAACCCAACAAGATGAAACAAAGAACCCAAAGATAACGGTGATGCAATGGACCTGCTTACAAATTGAAGAACCCACGATCCGGTGTTGAACGCCACAAGGAGTTATCCTTGATAAGTTCTAAATTGTTGTTCAAATAAGAACAAATTGGAAGAAAGCAAAAGCCTCTCTTGAATTCAATAATAATTGCCAAATAAAGTCCTTTACAATGTAATGGAGAGAGTTTTATACTAAAGCTAAAAACCTAACTAAAATCGTCAAAGTATGGAAAAAAGTCTAATTAATATAAAATTCTAACAAAATAAGGAAAATTGCAGAAAAAGAAAAATTATGCCAGATTTTTTTGTACCATGCGGTCGCATGGTACATTTCCGCGCGGTCGTATGGAAGAAACTATTGCCCCTCGAGAAAACCCCGCATGGGTTTGTGCGGCCGCACCACTTTTAAACCACGCGGCCGCATGATTGTTACTTTAGCCTCCCTCTTCGTCCTCTTGTGTTGAGTTGATCCACTTTGATTCGGCTTTCGACCCGAACATAAAACTTGTCCCATTTTGAGTCCCGAACATCATTCCATCAATGGTTTCTTGAATGAGAAATCCCATAGCTTGTTTCACTTCCTTTACTCTCGATCGCGTCATCAGTCCACCTTCGATAATCAACGAGTCTCAACTCGAACTCGCCGTCTTCAAGCTTAATTCTTGGATCACATCATCCACATTAGCCCAAATCATTAGAATTTCCATTTCTTTGTGGTAATCTTCCACACTCTTCGATCCTTGGTTTAACCCCTGCAACCTTTGATGAAGTTCCCTATAATAGTGACCCGGTATAAATCTCTTCCTCATAACTGCCTTCAACTCATCCCACGTGCTTATCAGCCTCTCCCTATTCCTTCGCTGTGAAGTGACCACCTAATCCCACCAAATGATGGCGTAATCAGTGAACTCCAAGACTGCAAGCTTCACTTTCTTCTTCTCCGAATAATTATGGTAGGCAAAGATTAACTTCATCTTCTTTTCCCATTCCAGGTAAGCCTCTGGATCA